ATTGCTCACTAAGTGTTGGCTATTTTTACTATTTTTATGTAAAGATATATATATATATATATATATATATATATATATATATATATATTTCTCTTCAGTCTGAAAACTTTAAGGATAAAGTGTTACCCATATTAATCGGTAGTTAGACTTCTCGTTCAGGTCATAGGAACACTAAATTAGTTCTCATACTTGGGAATCCTAATGCTACAGAAGAGGCTCTGTCTCAGTTTTCCGGGGTTACCAAGACAAAGCTCTACTGAGTCTGTAGCTTGAACAACAAAAGTGTATTTCTTTCTATTCCAGCAGCTAGAAGTCTGAAATCATGGTATCTGAGGTTTCATTTCCTCCCAGGCCTCTCTCCTTGCCTTGCTGCTTTTACCCTGTGTCATTGTGTGGTCTTATGTCCTGATTCCCTCTTCTCATAAGGATACCCATCCTATTGGATTAGGGTCCACCTAATGGCATCTTTGTAACTTAGTTACCTCTTTTAAAAACGCTGTCTCCAAATACAGTCACATTCTTAGGCATGAGAGATTAAGACATCAACAGAAGACATTAAGGGTTAAAGAGAGGTCGCAATTCAAACAATCACAGTCTCCATGGTGATGAGATGCCAGATGTGAATTCGTTAGTGGTAAAGCAGAATGACCTGAAACATTATTGTCATGATGTGGCTCAGAGATCACGATGGGGATGACAGTTAGATTGATGGCTTGGGAAAAACTTAAGGAGACCCAGTGGAGCTGTAGAAGTATACTCATCATATTGTGTATAGTTTTAACCCTTAGAGGTCTTCACAAGACCGATTATCAAGAATAATTGTCAGAGCTCTGCATTCCAACATCTGGATGGAGTGTGGATTTTTAAACTTTATGCAGATATTAATGAAAAAAATGGGAATTCCAAGTCCTGAAGTGTTGTGTGAAATTTTTCTGAATTTTCTTAAATTTTGAAGGCACTATTGTTCTAAATAAGTGGTTAAATTCACAAACTTTGTGGAGGCCTAAGTAGAATACAGGATGTGCATGTATCACTCAGAAGTTTAGGTAAAGGTATGATGTATTAAGTTGAATTTTGGTGCTTTAAACAGATGATCCACTGTTTTTCTTAAAATTCAGATGTTTTGCAAAATGTGTCACTGAGGACAAAAACATACAGCACGCCCTCAGCTTCCAATGTTGAACCTGTAACTTGCAAAAGATCACCTATTTCTAAGGGTCTTCCACAAGAAAGAGTAATTCACTTGGGAAAACAGTCCATTAAACCCCTCAGATATTTCATTGTGAATTGTTGTTTTGCCACACTTTTGTGTGTCCCTCTTTCTGATCTGATGAAAGGAACTGCTGGAAATTTGACTCTTTTCCAAACAGCTAGGGGTTCTTTGGGCTTTGGTAGCATGCAGAGCCATTCAGAAATATGAATGCTACTTTTTATTCTAAAATAGATTGGCTATATTTTAAGAGTCACAGTGAAAAAAACTTATGTGTGCCTGGGCTAAGCTCTGCACACTGATTTTCCCAAGAAGGGATCTTTGTTCATAAATGAATTTCTTGACTTTTGGTTTAGCAGTTTTAATTGGATAATTGCCAGAGGAAAATCATGTTTTAAATCTTCATGTTGCTGTGCTTTGTGAGTATGTTTTTTTTTTTTTTAATACTGTTTATTCTATTACTTTGAGCTCTCTGACATGAGAAGAAAATAGCTCACTTAAAATATTTCTGGTCAGGCCCTCTGATTAATTTTATGTTGCAAGAGAAAATGACAAAGACCTGTGGTACCAAGAGTCACATTGAACAACCCAGCTTCTACTCCATTCTTTATTTAAGAAATCACATACATGTCTCTCTGCCCAGTTCTAGAACTGTGAATGGTAATCAGCTCTTGTGACACAATGCAAATAAAGTCTTTGATTTTATGCAGTCTCTTTCAACAATATTCACTCAATAGCTATCTTATTTTATGAAATATCTGTCCTTAGTATTGACAGAGGTTTATAACGAAATATATATTTTTTACATTTTCTTATTTCTTAAAGTTATTTTATTGGTAAAATTAATTATAAGGGACAATAGGGTTCCTTGTGGCATATTGGTAACTGCATATAACATGATTGGATTAACATCATTCCCCAATACCCCTCCTCCTTTCCCCTCTTCCCTTTTATCCTCCCTAATGGCCTCCCTTCTATTCTCACGTGATCTCATTTTTTCATTTTTTCTCTGTAGCTTCCACATATGAGAGGACACATATCACATTTGTCTTTCTGAATCTGGCGTATTTCACTTAATATAATGTTCTCTGGTTCCATCCATTTTCCTGAAAATGACATAATTTCCTTCTTCTTTAAGGCTAAAATTCCTTATATTTTTAAAGTAACAAGCTATACCATTTTTTTTAAAAAAAAATACCCAGTATTATAATCATATAAAATGTACTTAATGAAAGACTAAATTTAATATAAATGTAAATGTCCACATTAGTGAGATAATAATGAAAGTTCACTTTTCCTAAAGTTTTAAAAATATATTCCAAAGAAGTTGTAAGACTTGAAGTAGGCGGGGAATTCTAAGAGAAGAAAAAACAGTGTCAAAGGCTTAGCAACAGGGATGCATATGATCCACACGTCTTGTGAAGAGAAGCTCACCTGGAGTGAGGTCTATAGTTGAAGAGTTGTAGAGAAAATGTAGAAAAGTAAGATGGGAATGAATAAGCCTGGAGTTTGGTGAGTCATGTGAAGCTCAGGGCACAGGCTTGATTCCATAGGTAAAGAGGCTCTTCATAAAGGAAGTTGCATGGTAAAAATCAGGTTTTATGAAAAATCAGGTCCACTAATGCTGTGCAGGGTAACGTGACTTTGGGAATAGTGAAATGATGAGATCTTATAATTTTCTATATGAGTGTATTTAAGGCTGAGACTAGGGTAGAAGCATGGAAAATATATAGAGAGAGTCAAGCACTGCAGATGGTATTAATGCAATGGAGTTGGGGGTAGCTTAGATGATAGAAACCTAAGACAGCAGGATTCATTATGACTTCCATATTTGCTGCCTGGAGTATGGTGTTTCTGGCAACAGAATTAAAGAAACTGAGGAGGCCATGACTAAGAAGGAAAAAAAAGATGAAGTTGGTGTCTGACCTAACGAGATGCAATTGGCAGACAACTGAGGGGAATGTTATAAAGGCCACTGTAATGACAAATCAGCATGAACTTAGGGTGGTGACTGATTTAGAAAAGGGCATCAGAGAGAACTAAAATGTCTAGATGAAGGATCTCACCAAAGAAAAGAAGGAGAGAAGAAGACAAGTAGAGGAGGCTTGACGAAAGGCTTCAGAATATCCACCACTAGGAGATAAAAAGAGGATCATAATCAAAGAGGGGATGGTTGGAGAATTATGGGATGTATCATAATGTCAAAGCAGGAGGGAGTTGGGAGTGTTTGGTGAAAAATATTGACATTTTTAATATAAGAGAAAGAAATAAATGGAAGAAATGTCCCTTGAGTTAGACAAGAGTTACACATCTTGATTTTCATCAGGGATATTTAGTGTAATGGTAGGAACAAAATCCTAATTGCAGCGAGAAAGGAAAAAAAAAACACAGATAAAGACAAAGGAGGCAGGGGAGACAGAGGATCTACAGGAAGGTGGTGTCTATAAAGGATGTGGTGACAATAGCTAGAGGAGGCAGAGGATAGGGTGGGCTTCTCCTCAAGTTTCCAATTGAGGGGATTCCTGTACATCTAAGTTAAATAATCCACATGGAAGGATCTTTGAGAAGTCAGAGGGAGTTAAAGCATAAATGCAGAGATAAGATGCATCTTTCCCTGTTGCCAGCTTAACTTCTCTACTAGGATCTTCAGTGCATTTTTTTTTCTTTTTTGCATATCTTCCAAAACCCTGTGTCAATAAGTATTGCCTTTGAGGTGTGCCACAGTCTGGCTGCAGCAAAATAACCGGGGGGTGATGAGCAACTTGTGTACATTGATACAGCAGGAGTGGGAGCCGTTTATTGTAGGACAGAAGGGGTATATATACATTCCACACAGCTTATCTAATTAACATAAACTAGATACAGCAGTCAACCAATCAGGAATCTCCACACTTAATGGCTCGCTGGCATTACTTCACAAACCACTCCCTCTGGCAAAATGCCAGGCGCCATCCTGACTTGTTTACACACCCTAACAGAGGTGTGCATGTTTAAGCAGCTGTCTGGGTTGGCTCCTTGCCAGGCCCTGAAAACTCTTTTCTCCCCATCCACAAGATATTTCTCTTACTATGCTACACCTTTCAGCTGTAGGCTATCTTTTCTTTCCTCTTCAACACCAATTTTTAAAATATTCTTTCCTGGATTTTCTCCTCAATCACAGCTCCATCCCCTCCCTGGTTACTTCCTTCACCAAGTGTATTGATGGCCTCTTCCTCACCTGATCAAATTGCTGACATCCTTTCCCCGAAGACACTGTGCTCCTGGTTTCTTTTCTCTGAGGTTCCATGCTAGCTCTCTTTCTGCCATCTTCTCTTCTCACTCTGTATCACGTGAATTCAGTGTCAAGATCATGTGAATCCAATTTTTTTTTTTTTTTTTTTTTTTTTTTTAGAAAAAGGAAAAAGAAGGTGTATTGTTTTAACAGTGAAAGAAAAACACAGGGACTCCTGTCCCAGAGGCTGTGGTTCTTTTAATTTGTTTGTTTGTTTTTAATTATTCATAACATTATGATTAAATATAACTTGCTCTAATTCAGTCCCCAGTACTTCCCCTTTCCTTCTCCCACTCTCTCTCCATGTTCCCTTCCCTCTATTCTACTGATCTTTCTACTATTTACTTACAGTGTTTTTTTTTTTCTTAATTAATGACTATGGATATACATAATGGTGAGATTCACTGGGTGTATTTATGTATGTTCATAGGAAAGTTAGGCCAGATTCATTCCATTGTCTTTCCTCCGCTCTCCCCTTCAATCCCCCTACTCTACTCCACTTAACTTTCTTTGATGGGAAAAAATATGGAATGTTTCACAAATTCTCATGCCATCCTTGCACAGGGGCCATGCTAATCTTCTCTTGGTTGTTCCAATTTTAGTATATGTGCTGCCCAAGTAAGCACATGAATCTGAATTCTTAGTGATGGTCCTGGCTTACCAAATGGTTACTCGATTCTAGGGAAACTGCAAACACATTGAATCTATTGCTAATGCCATTCAGTCCAGACCTCCCTACATCTGGTCTTCTTGCAGAGTCCTGTATCCCAACAAAAGCACATTCTCCGCTCAGAGACGCAGGCGAGGAATTTTGTTGCTATCCACGATCATTTTTTCTCCTTCTACTACTCTACTCCATCAATTAACTGATTCCTTTTCTCCCTAACTATCTACTAAATCCATCTTGTTGTCTTTCTTAAATGGCCACCATACTTATTCAGGCCACCTTGATTTTGCCTACATTGTTCTAGAAAGTTCTACAGCTAATTTCTTTAATACACCTTTTATCCTTTCTACATCTCCCCTTGCATCTCTCAACATGCCTAATATTAGCTTTTTAAAAGCAATAGGTACCTGAGTATTCAATATTATCTTGCTTGACTCCTAGGATGACCCTACAGATGATTTAAACTGTTATTTTGTTGTGTCTTCACAAACTATTTTACTGTCTTCCCTCCCATGCGGCAAAGATCAGGTTCAGAGCTCAGATATATGATGACAGAGCATATATGCATATATCTTATATCAGATATATGCAGACTTTTCCAGGAAAACATCCAATCAATTCACCTTCCCATTGTTTGCTTCATCTAGAATCTCCTGCCTTTCAATTTGTATGAGGGTCTCGTGAACATGCTCTTTCCTATATCCAGAGCTCATTTGCCATCCCATCTCACCCCCTTTTCCTAATTCTTATTGAACCTTCAAATTGTAACACCTCCAGAAAGCAATCACTAATCTTGCTATCAATTCCAGCTTGTATACTGATGCTGTGTGCTTCCATAGCATTCCATAAATGATATTCATGGCATTTAAGACCCTTTATTGTACTAAACGGTCTACCCTAGAAGACAGTAAGTTTTCTGTAGTCCTTTACACATTTTATTCTATCAAAACAGTGTGTCTGACCATTGTATATATCAAAATAGTGCCAGCATAAGACAACTGCATAGTGACTGTTCATTGGATGAGTAAAGGAATAAATGGTTTAGATGCAGATGATGTCATTGAAAAGAAGATGAGCTAAGAATCATGGTAGATAAGTTCTTCATTAGTATATTAGATAAGAATATCTGCTCATAATGAGGGTTTAGCCACAGAGAAATGAGCATAAGTAGAAGGAAAATAAAGGTCTGGAGTAACCTTAATGTTCATTGAGAAGAAATAAGATTGTTGAGGAGGGTAAGGTGGACAATTAAAATTGGATCTCAAAGACTAAGGATTTTTTGCATTTTTCTCTACAGATATTTCTGCTGCAAGGATAAAGTTCAGAGCTTAGATTTTAGATGACAAAAGCCCAAGGTGGACTATCCATTTAATGTCAAGGGGTGTGTGTGTGTGTGTGTGTGTGTGTGTGTGTGTGTGTGTTGGAGATGGTGGTGCTTGTGAAGTGTGGTCTTGGGTGGAGATAACACTGGTTGTGAAGTTTACACTTATATAACCAAACCTAGAGTTTAGACTGAGCAAATCAGGTGATCAGTATAAATGGAAGGTGTACATCAGCTAGAGATTTTGATAAAGCACAGTGAGTGCAGTAAAGGAATCTTGCATAAGATAATCTATCAGTAAAAGAAACTGTTAAATTCAGTATGTATGAGCTGATCCAATTGCCTGTAATGATAGGAATCTACTTTTCACAAGTAAATGAGTTTGTATCAAAATCAGAATTGATCCTATGGTACACTTATAAGTAATCTTTTCTTCTCTAGCAGAATTGCAACAGACATGATAATTGAAATTTCTTCAAAGAAAAAATAACTATAAAGACTGAGGATCTCTTTCTTATAGTCTCCTCTTTGATTTCATTAGTGTAGAAAACTAACTGTGAGACTGGTTTCCCCATGGCAACTAATTATCCACCTAATCACTTATTTGTGGGTGGATCAATCACTCTCCAAGCATTTATTGATTCCCTATTGTGTACCCAACACAATGCTAAATGCTGAGGGTAAACAAGAATGATCTCTACTCTTGCAGTCGGCTGTGTACCTCTATGTCAATTAATCTACCCTGATCTAATGTCATTCCCTTCTTTTAGATTAGTACTTGTATTAGTGACAGAATAACACTTTTGATAATTCATCCATTCTTTCATAGTTCTCTTTTGAGTCATCTATAACCATGGTTTCTTTTAGATAACCAACTGTTTTATCATTAAAAAATAACAAAATGCTAATTCACCATTATTTTGAAGGGTGATAGTAAGTTTCTGGAGACTTCTAATAGCAGTATCTCTTATGCTATCATGTAAAATGTACAGGTTCTTACGGAACAATATGAAATGTAGTGTTTTCTGATTTGATTTCTGATCAATTCTAGCTTTTGTTTAATTAATATTTCAACTAATAACATTTCTTTAGTCTTCTTAACCTTTTGTTTCTAGCAAAAGTTCTATAATTACATTATTTGTGCAGTTTCTCCTTAAATAATTATTTTCTTTGCCTTGCTCCACCATGTTCATGGCTGAGAAACATGTTCCTCCAAAACTTACTTGTATATTTCTAGTTTTTTTGTAGCACAGATTTACTTTAATAATCCACTTCAATGAATTTTTCTAGAGTCATAATTAAGCAATTATAAGCATGAGGCCATGATACTTCCTTTATTATAAGCTGAGCTTTTTGTCTTAAGATAGACCAAACCATGCAACTTCTATAACCACTATTGAGGTTTATATGGAAATATTTCATTTGAATGGGGGATCAATACCACAAATAACAGAAGATAAAAGAGACAAATTTGTTGCAAGATATAATTGTAAATAATATTGCCAGTGGTGAGGTTAATCCATTAAAAAAAAACATGGAAAAAGAAGATTAGGAAAGCCTATTATTTTGCATTGATAATATCTTGTACTTATCTTGTAACAGATGATACACTGCTTTTATTTCCTTATAGTCAAAGAATTATCTGTGCAAATGCCTCCCTTTGGATTAAAGTAGTAGACAGTTCTAGAAATATTTTGAAGCACTAGAAGACAATGCTATTCTTTCTTGGAAATATTTGCAAATGGGATATTTATTCATATGTGAAGAAACCACTATGTGAAACTTAGAGGTGGTGGATGCTGAAAGCCTCCTGGGGATTAGTTTCTATTTGACTCCTATTTTCTTTGACATTTGGAAAAATGCTGACAATAAGAATTCTTAGGTTCAAATCTTTAGTTCTTCTCTTTTCTTGCATAGTCTCTTGCTAGCCCCCTAAAAGGGATAACTCCTCCTGGCTGCTGGCAAACAGCATAATAGGAAAAAACATTACAGATCTCCTTCAAAATTTTGCAGCATACAAATTGATAAAAACATGATCATCCCAGGAGCATTTAAAATAATCGCATTTCACTGGAACATTCTCTGCAGGACCTGCCTGAAATTTAGCCTCCCTGTACAATAGGAAGCTGTGCAGTTATCTTCTTGGAAGCCTTCACACTAGGCCTTTGTGAGGCAGGGAACTCAGGCTAAATCTTTAATAGGAGTATCTCACAGAACCAGAGGTAAGGACATGCACATGCAGATGAACAACAGGCACTCATGTGAAGTCTTGGTGATGCATGTGCTTTTATTTGGTACAGTAGCACGTACATGCTTACATGTGCTTGACTTTGTTTATTTTCATGCCAATCTTCCTTATTTCATTTTGCACGGTGATGAGAGAGTTCATATTCAGCATCGCACAGCTACATAATTATGAATGCTGAGCCAGGTTTTGTAAATTTACATGCTCTGTCCCATAGAACAGCATTACAAATTAGAGATTATAAATAAATTTTGCTATCTCAAGTTGGAGACTTTTTAAAAAGCATTGCTTTATTTAATAGATTTTTCTCTGAACACTTGAATGCTTTGCCTTTGCCTTTGATTTGTGTCTTTTTATTTATTGTTTACTTTTGGAAATGTATGGAGGTATTCACAGAAAGTGAATGTTTATTTGGGATCAGATTGCTTTATTTTTTTTTCTAGGACATTGTCTGGAAATTTAGTTTAACATTTTTAATGAATAAACATTGCTTATCAATCTGTCAATCAAAGAACCTTCAAAGAGAAGAAAATGTTAATTTATTCATCATCTTTGACATATGAAAATCATGTACAATTTTGCCTTCTAGCAATACAAAGACGAGAAACTAAGGACTTATATAAAAAATGAGGATTTAGAAAATCTAATGTAATACTTTATGATGAAAACTTATGAAATAATTTCTGATTGCCAAAAGTTATAGAGCTCTGTTTTAAAAGATATTTATTTTTTTACCAAATGTTTTAACAAAAAGAATATTCATTTCTAATATGATCTCTGAAGAAATCATGTATAGCTTTTAAGATATATTTGCTGGTCTATTCAAATCCCTAAACAATGTAGGTTGCTTTAAGTCCTACTTGTTTTCAGAAATAAATTCCAAAGACCAACAAGATGCACAAATTTCTTAATAAGAATTTGTGGGTCATGGATGTGGAAGAAACCATCTTATGTGAAAGTAGCTACTTTCATTTCATGCAATAAACACTTATATCTTATTCCATATTTAGATAATATAATTTTGCTTGTGGCTGTTATATTGTTTTAGAGCTGATTTTTTTTAGATTAATAGCAGTTAAAAATCAATTTATTGGAGAACAGATTTATAATTTAGATATAGGCTAGATTATTATGGGATACAATATAGAGCACATTGTGAGGAGTAGTAATAATAAGTTTGTTTTTAAAACTTTTAGTTTTATTGTATGTGTGTGTGTAAGTTCTAGCTGCAATGTAACATATGTATAACATATACATATAATATATACATATAACATGTACATATATGCATATAAATATGCTTAAACTGTGGATAAAAGCGAAAAAGAGTTAGAAAGCAAATATTCCAAAGGTGCATCTTTTATATCAATATTGAAATGAATCAGTTATATAC